GCTCCTATAATAAAATCCGAAATATTAATCTCGATTTTAAAAGGTTTTTAAGGGTCTAGGATTATAATTATTAATTTAAAGATAACTATATTTTTAACTTTAATAAATACTTTTTTATGTTTAAAGTCCTAAATAAATAGGTTATCCTTTTATATTAAGTTATTAAAAGGTCTAATAATATTAATATAATCTTCAAAGAATTGTTAATAAAAATTAATAAATCTTAAAAACTCTCATATATCTTTAACGTTTTATAATATAAGCTAGTTTCTAATAGCTTCTACTTTTAAGGCTTATATATAAATTTATCTTAATATAATAATATATCTAAAGAAATCTACCTTTTATATATAGAATTTATACTTAATAAGTTTAATATATAATTTAATATTTTAAAAATTTTAAAATACTATATAGATATACTTTTTATATATTTTAAGGTCGGGAGAGAAAATAAAGACGTCGTCGATATAAATAATAATAAAGATATTAATATACTCTTAAAATATATAATTAATTATTATTTAAAAAGTTATTAGTATATTAATAAGTCCGAAGGGTATAACGAGGTATTTAAAGAATCCTTTATAAGTTTAGAACGCCGTTTTTTATTTATTTTTTTCTTTAATTCGGATTTAATTAAATACTTCTTTAAGATCTATTATAATAAACTAACTAACTCTATATAATAGGTCTTTCAATTTAGTAATAAAGGGTAAAGAATAATAATTTTCTTTTGTGATTTTATTAAACTTTTTATAATTAATAATAGGTCTTAGTTTCTTTTTTCCTTTTTTAATATAAAAAATAAGGGTACTCCTATAGGAGAATTTGACAGTTAAATATATCTTTTACTAAGTTTTTTATCAATATATTTGTTAAAGTATTCTTATTTTTCTTAATTTATAGAGTATATTAAGAAGAACCTAGGTTATATTCTTTCCTTAAGTTCGATTTTAATATCCTAACTACTATATTTTAATAATCCTACTTTTTTAAATTCTATAAATAGTTTTATATATTTCTAGTATTTTTAAGTATAATTTAGAATTATTACGATCTTTAATCGTCGGTATTTAATATAAAATTCTTATAGTCTTTTATTATTTTAATAAAAGCTATATATTATATTTGTTTTTGTTTTTTAAATATCGTAATAAATTTATTTAAACCTTTTTTTTTAGGTCGTTTAATAACTAAATTTCCCTACTAAACTTAGCTAGTTATTTAGTTTATTTATAAGTTATATTTTTATAACTACGAGATTCCTAAAATAATATCGATATCTTTAATCTTTATAATATTATATTATAATTACTCTTAATAATTATTAATAATTATTGAGAGGTGTACGGTCTTTCGATAAATATATCCTTTATTGTAACTAACGTTTTCTTTTTTTATATTTTATAATTAGTATAGGTTATCCTTATATACTTATAATATATTAAGTTTATTTATTATTTTTAATAATATATAATTTTTTTATATACCGTTATCGATTATAATATATAGTCTTTATTTATATATATTAAATAAAATTAATAAATATACGTCGTTATATTATTTAGTTATATATAGGAACTTATTTTTGATATTTGCTTCTCGTTATTCTTTTACAATTAGTTTTTTTAATTTATTATTATTCTTTTTTTAATCGGTCTTTTTATTTAATTAATTCTTATTGTTCTTTCTATATTTATATTTTATAGATATAGTAGATTTAATATTAATTATATCTATACTCATATTAATTATATCCTAATTATATTAGTAATTTATAAAAAAGTTAGGTCTAGTTTAAAGGTCGCTCTATCGGTTTTATTAAAGTAAATAAATATCTATTTAATAATTAATTTGATAGAACGTCCTTAATAGGTTAGTTATTATATCTTTATAGTAGAACTAATTTTTTTTTAAATAAAAGGTATTAAAGTATTTATTATCTAGATACTCTTTTAAAATAACTCTTATAAATATATCTTTAATATCGAATAAAAAATAATCCTTTTTATTTAGATATTATTAATATTTTTTAGGTTCTCTTATTTTATAGAATTATAGGGTTTATTTATTATCGAGTAGATCGATATTTTTATATTTTAATTTATTAGAATCTTTTTTAAAATTATATCTTAATATTAAATAGGATCCTTAATTAGTTTCTATTTAAATATATCATTATAGACTTTATAAAATTTATTTAAATTTAAATAAGTTTTATTAAAAATAAAGCTATTAAACCTAACTTATAGTTCTTTATTAATTTAGAAATCGATTTTTTTTTAACTTTTTTAAAATTAAGGTCTAGTTTTTTAATAACTTTAATTTTTTTTTATATATTAGGTCTTTAAATTATTTTTTAACCTTATAAATGAATTTTTTATTTCTATATTTTCATTTTATTATATAAATAGATTTAGTTAGGATTTCTTCCTTTTTTATTACCGCTAAGGTTTTAATTAATAGGGGTATAGTATCGTATTTTAATCGATTTTTATTTTTAAGTTTCTTAAAGTACTATTTTATTTTTTTTTATTTTTTAGTATATAAGATAGTTATCCTTATAATAGGCTATTTATAATAGTTATATATAAGGAACTTTTTTAATTACAAGATTGGCTCGTTTTTTTAAAATAGGTTAGTATTAAATATATTTAGGTTATTAATAGTTTTTATTATATATCCGGTTTATTATAGTTATAATATTTAAATTTCTTTTTTTAATAGGGTTACTCTTTCTTAATAATATTAAGACTTATAGGTCCGTTATAATATTTATTTACGGTAGTTACTAGTTTATATTTATATTTAATATTAGGTTGAGGTTAATTATTTTAAATATTCTATCCTTTATATTCGAGACGTTATTTATAAAGTCGGTTATCGATCTTAACCGTTATATCGATATATTTATAAAATTCGTTTAGTCGGTCTTATTAAAAAAGTTCGTCCTTAATTTTTTTTTTAAACTATAATAAAAGGTTATTATAAATATATTATTATTTTAATTAAGTTTAAAAATAGTTTATCGGAATTTTGATATATATTTATTAATTAAGGCCTTTTAAATAAAAGTTATAAGTTTTTATTTAATAATTCGTTCTTTATTAAGATTATTAAAGGTCTTTTTAAATCTTTTTTTAAACTCTTTATAATTATTAAAGATCTTTTTAATATCATTATCCTAGAGTTTATATTCGTTCTTTAAATAAAGTTTTATAAAAAGTTTAAATTAAATAAAAGTATGTTTTTTAAAAAATAAAGTTATATAGTAAACTTTATTTATTTTAATAAAAAAAAAAGATTCTATAATAGTATATATAGGCCTTAATTTATATAAAAAATCCTTAAAAAGTATCTAAGGACCCGTTATAAGGTTCCGGTTTAAGGTACTTAGCTTTAAATATAAAAAGAGGTTATAATACTAAAAATTAAATATAAAGTTACTCGTTCTTACTTTTAAAAGTAAGTATTATATTATATAGCTATTAAATAGTTAATATAATTACCTTTACGGGCTATATAATATTACTATTATTAACGGTTAATATATTTATATTATTTAGTTAGTTTCTTATAAAATAAACTTACTAAATAGGAGTAATTAAAGTATTATAACTAGCTAGTTATAATAAGTATATTTATAAAAGTTAAGGTTATAATATTAAATAAATAATATATTATAATCGTAAATAGCTTTTTTAAAACTATATTTATAAATTATAAAATAAATAAGGTTTTAATAATTAATTATAATTTTATTAAAAAGGTTTTTAATAAAAATAGTTAAAAGTAATTATAAAATTTAATATTAAGTTAATTATTAAAGAAGCTATAAAAAGTCTATCTTTAAGCCTAATTTAAATTTATTTTATATATAAGTCCCGTATATTATTTAAATAGTTTTTTTATAATTAAAATTAATATTACGATATTAATCCTATAAAAGTAGACCGTTTTTATTTTATTAATTTTATTTATAAACTATTTATTATCCGTCGGTCCTTTTTATTATTATATAACTTATTTATAGTTCTTTCGACTTAAAAGGAGTTATCTTAAATTTATTTTTTTATATATATAATATAGTAGCCGCTATAGGCCTTATAGGGCGAGACCCTAGCCTTATTATATATATTAGGTCGTAATACTTATTAGCCGTAAGAAAAAAATACATTATTAAAAAGGGAGTGCCTTTATTACGGGCTAGAATAGTATATCGCTAATAAAAATATTAAAAAGTATTATCGTAAAAAGAGATCTAGAAATAAATAAAAAAGATACCGTACTATATTTAATAAACATTTACCCTAAAAGGCGGTAATAAATATAAAAAGGGTCGTTAGACTAAATTATACCGTCAAACGATTACTAATTAACCTTAATTAATAACTTTTTACCGCTAAATTAACGATAATTATAGTAGGTAGAAATAGCCGAATTCTGCCGCTTATACACACCCTAGCCAGCCCCTTATCGACTCCCCTATCTATGGCAGGGGTTGGTCTTAGCAGCAACTGCAAGGACTATTGAGACGCACCTCCGTATAGCTACGAGCATTGAGCCGGCCCGTCGCGGACACAACTGTGCACGTTCCTCCGAATAGTCACACCACTAGGGCCTAGCCAGATGACAATTCCTGTACGAAGTAAGTTGCTTCATTCTAGGAAGATTCGAACCATGACACTACACTATTAGCGATACGATGAGTGATTGACTCTGGGTCGAGCTCGACGGGCCTTAGAGTCGTAGCTCGGCAGTCAGCACCCTTGATTACGAAGCAACACTTGCCGTCAAACTTGTACCATCAGCACCTGCGTGTTTTTGATTTATCATCGGTAGCTGATTCAGATGCTTTGAGTCGCCAGGTTTTAAATATGGTGTTTCTTCGTCAGGCGGCAATTCAGTCTTCTTGAGTTCCTAGTCTCACTTTCCTTTGAACCAACAGAACTTCGACTTTCTCTTCAATTGCGACATTCAAGGCTCGACAAGATACGATGTCTATCAACCTTTGGGGCTCCGCCACGTCGGCCTGCACTCACAGAGTGCTAATTACTCCCAATGAGCTCGGCCTTATGTACGACTTGACTCAAGTCAACCTCATGAAGGGGGAACATGAAGTTCGTAATTGTGGCCTGCAAGATGTTTGTCTACGGATTTCCGAACATGAGTCTGACAACCTATACTGGGATCCGGCCTATCTCAAGGAATAACACCCCTTTGGCCGCATTCCCTTCATGCAAGATGGAGACCTTCAACTCTTCGGATCCCGAGCTATCTGCCACTACCTCGTTGCCAAGTTTGGCGGGCCCTCTAGCTCGCTCGATGCCATCATGAGTGGCAACCCGGTCAAGATTGGGAACTTCGAGAAGGCCCTCAGTATTGGCAACTCCTATTTTGACCCATCCGTCAAAATTATGTGCAACGAGAAGCTGTGGAAAGTAATGCCGAACGACGTTGACTGTGCTCGAGTTAAGACTTTATGCTGACTGTATGACCACCTTAGTGTGGCGGAGCTCGTGAACCTTCTCGAAGCAGAGAAGGCAACCGCAATGTTCATGGCCGGGCATGATTATTATGAAGACGTTCTTGACTCCGACGCTTACCTAGCGGGAAACGTAAGATTTTTATACCTCTTCTAATTACAACTATTTCACCTTATGGACAGACTAGTCTAAGTCGATCGCAGAACTTCAGCCTTGCTGACGTCTACGTCTTCACCTGGATGCCTTATATCAAGTTACTTGGCTTACACGACGAGATTGCCGCTAGACCCAGACTTGAAAGTTTGTGGAAGCGAATTTCGAGTCGCTCGTTCTGGAAAAGCGCTGTGAAAGACATGCCGTAGTGGAAGCACCCCTCTAAACTTTTAGTCATTTTTTCTAGCAAATCCTGCTAGGGATGGAAGTGACGGGGACTTCTGGTCTGGTATACTTAAAGGTCGCGGTATGGCCTCCTCGGAAGGCGGTCTTGGCGGGCAGAATCGAAAAAGCACAGTCTATCGCGCTATGATAATTGGGTGCTGCCTGCCTATTGGACGAATTTCCCTGCATAAAGCTCAGTATCTGTCGCTTTCGCAATGTTTGCTGGCCAACTTGATTCCTCCTTTGGACTTTTGGACCACTACCTTGGCAACATGTACTCAGATACGGATGGAAGTCCGAAAGGTCTTGACTGACGCAATGTTCAGGTTGGCGGTGCCATTTGACCCATATTTGCTCCTTCCTAACGAGGCAATCAGAAGCGTCGACAGCTTTGGGTTTGCGAAACACCACAAAAACTTCCCCTCACAAGAAGCTGGAGAAGTAAACATCTTGAAGTTGTTTGATCACTTGAGTCTCCTTCTTTTTGTCAATGTTTCACCATGCATTGCTCATCGCATTTTGTCAAAGCTGCATTACTCGTTTTTTGCATCGTACCATCACTCGCATCACAATGCACACCCTCAACCCCTGAAAAGCCCCGCGTATTCCTCTTGAGTGACATCGCCAATGAGCCCGACGATGCGCAATCGCTCGTACGCCTTCTTGTCTACGCCAATGAACTCCAGATTGAAGGTCTTGTGGCGACGACGAGTGTCTGGCTAAATGACACCACCCGCCCAGACCAGATGCACGATATCGTCGACGCATACGGCGAGGCACTTCCAAACCTAAAGAACCATGCTCCCGGCTGGCCTGAAGCATCCTATCTCAAGGATCTAATTGCCTCCGGCTTGCCAGTCTACGGCATGGACGGCGTCGGCGACGGAAAGGACAGCGAGGGCTCTGATAGGCTAGTGAAGGCAGTCGATGGCTCGACAGAGCCGCTGTGGGTCCCGGTATGGGGAGGGGCGTCCGTTCTGGCGCAGGCGTTGTGGCACGTCAACGCGACGAGATCGCCATCCCAGATCGAAACCTTCGTCGCCAAGCTCCGCATCTATACAATTTCCGACCAGGACAACGCCGGCTCGTGGGTCCGTCGAAACTGGCCGCAACTCTTTTACATTGCCAGTGTCCACCACTTCAACCGATATGCCGTTGCCGCGTGGGGTGGTATCTCGGGCGAGGAGTATTACAACTTTCCGAGCTTCTCGAACCAGGAAGTTATATCACCAGATTGGATCAAGCAGAACATCCGGAGCGTCGGACCGCTGGGGGCGAAGTATCCTGACACCGATTTCATCGTTGAGGGCGATACACCTTCGCTTCTCTACCTGATCCCCAACGGGCTCTCCGACCCCGAATATCCGGAATGGGGTTCTTGGGGCGGCCGATATGGTCCCGTCACCTACGGCGAGGGTCATTACGCGGATACGGTGGACGTCCTGAAAGGGGCTTCAGGAAGGACGATCATGAGTTCACAGGCTACTGTGTGGAGATGGCGCGAGGCGTTTCAGAACGACTTTGCTGCCCGTATCAAGTGGTCTGCCAGTCCCGAATTCGGTGATGCTCAGCATGCCCCAGTCGTTGTGTTGAATGGAGACACTTCTCGCAAGGTTGTGAAGATGGTCGTTAATGAAGAGGACGTCATCGGACTCGATGCGCGAGAGTCTTGCGACCCGGATGGAGGGGAGTTGACGTACAAATGGTGGCAGTACTTGGAGCCATCATCAAACAACAACAATCCGGGGAGAGATGTCGGCAGGCTTGAACTGAGTGACACTAACGCTCCCATTATCACAGTCACCATGCCTTCAGAGGAACTTCTTCGCACTCCAGGCAGAAATCGTCACCCGAATGAGGACAAGCACATGCATCTCATTCTTCAGGTCTCTGACGGCACACTGGTTTCCTATCGCCGGGTTATTTTCACCATACTCGGACCTAAGACAGGGGATGAAAAGTCTTCGACCGGAAAGGCGGCCGAGCAAGCCGTTCATGATGAGCTGTGAGCAGTCAATTGATTATGGCGAGAATTACTCCGCGCAGCCCATCTTCTGCCCAAGACTAGCCAGGTGGCAGATAAGCCGCAAGAATACATGGATCAACCATTTCGAACCCGATAAAGAACTCCATGCTTTTTGATGCAACCCATGATGTGCACAAAGAGAATCAATGAGAAGCCTTCCGGCATGCAAGTTACAAAAGGAAAAACGTGAGAAACATGTTCCATATAAACCCAACACACATGCCCACCAGCGCTCGATACCCCACGGGTACGAGGGCGAAGTTGAGCATAGCCACCAGAGGCCAAAACTTCCATGCTGCCTTGATCAGGTCGAATATCCTCTCGCTCCAGATCTGGTAGACGATCGGAGAGAATCCGAAGCGCAAGGCCGACGTGATGAGAAGAAAGGCCGAGTTCATCATGAACAGGCCTACGGTCTGGTCGACGAGTACCTTACGGGCGACATTGAAGTAGTTCTTGGGCGCTGCCCTCTCGGGTTTCTCGGGTTTCTCGATCTTGGGCTCAACAATGGACGGCTTCCTTCCCCTGCCGCGGGCCGACGATGCCGAATTTGGGAACTGGTCTTCGAGAAAGTGCTGCCACCAGTAGTTGATGTGGCCCTGTATGAAGCCAAAAGTCGCGAACTCGAGAACGCGACGGACATCGAGCGGGGCCGGGGCGCTGCCGCCCGCCAGCCTGTGCTGATTGACGATCTGCGCAGTGAAGTTTGCGGTGCCCTTGAGTAACGAAGACTGGATCGCCGTGGCGAAGATGGAGGGCATTATGAGCGTCTCTAAACGTGCCTTTGAATGTCCCCTTTGGTGTACAGATACGTTGGTCGTTGCCGAAGTCTATTGGAAGGGCGGCAGGGCGTTAGGGATGGCGCATTGAGGCTGAAATCTCACATGTGAGCTGAAGGCTTAGCTTGTGGTTGAGTTGGGGGCCTAGCTGGGTGATTGAAGTTGCGGTGTGTCCCATTTAATTGGGACCACGTTGTACATTCCAGAGGGGGGAAGTTGGAGCACAGGGCCCGTTGTGCTCGGTCGGCCAATGTCAGCGCCGAGATCGTGCCCAATCTCGGTACGCCCTGCCGCTCCACAGATGAAACAGGAAAGAATAGCCACTCTCGTTGGCGATTTGAGTCTCTCATTATTGCTTGACAACTCCATTTGTCATGCAGTGAGGTTCTGGTTTTGGTGAAGCTCTTGAGAGTGTTTTTGCCGGTCAATTGCACCCAATCAACAGGCTCTACTGGACTTTAGGGATAAGAGTGAATCATAATCTTCAGCCTCCGGGCACTGATACATGGGCATAGATGAAATTGCTCCCGAATTTCGACTCTCTGTTGCGGAGATAATGTGTATTAGCCTGCGAATTTGAGACTGCTAGTCTACCATCTAGTGACTCTGTACTTCTCAGAGAATGAATCAAGTGCGGTGAGCCGTGGATACCTACACGATTTCGAGTTCCCTTTTCAGTATTATTCTAACCAATGTATAAGGCATGATAGCCGACACTCCAGTGTTCTCATGCGTACCTACTGAGCCAACCTATATCTTACCTACAGGCTGAGAAGCCAGCTTGGCCTTATACGATGTGGAAATACGTCTTCTTGATGCTTGATGCATGTGTTGGTCATCTGGTGCACATAACGTAGCCAATGCGTTTGTAGACGTTGCCCTTAAGATGCTCATGTACAAGTCCATGCTTATGACGCACTCGAAGCCAATGACAAGACATCGCCTTCATAATTGCGGTCTTGTCGCCCGCCGCATAGCAGTCCAGTTTGAGCACAACGTCTGGCGCATATTGGAATGTGCCTGCACCCCAAGGTTCGTGGTCTGGTATGCTGGAGCCCGGGACCAGAGAGCCTCGAGCACACAACTTGCCCTCAATAACTTCGCCCATCGGTGCCCTCGAGGAGATCATTTTCCCATACACCTGCTCAATACCTTCCTAGTTCTCCGCCGCCTTCTTTGGTAAGACGCAGGACCTCGCTTGCGAGTGCAGAGATTTCTGGTAGTCTGTCTTCGGAGCAGGTAAGGAGACGTCGCCCATATAATGTCACGAGATCTTTTCAAGTCGCCTTGTAAGGATCACAACTGCCATATTTGGGAAGCAGAATCCTGACCATAGTCTTTTGGTGCTCGCGTATCTATGACCTCCAGGCCGGGACGCCACTACCGCAACGCCAGGTCATTGTCGACGTTCCATAGATCAGGACTCTTCTGGAAAGCAAGGACTCTTGAAAGGCCCAGGCCCGTTTATCGATAGGTTCTGGAGACGAGGCGTAATCCCACTTGGAGTACTCAAGTCCTATGTTTTGAACCTTTCCTTCCAGTGTTATCGGTAGCTGACAGCGGAGAAGTAGCGATCCGGGTTCCAGCGAGCGTGGAGAGTCCCTTGAGGCTAGGAACCCCCGACTAGCATCGCTTGCGTTTGCCGCGACTATTGTAATTCAAGCATTCTGATAGATGCTTGCCATTTTGCTCATTTCTACTTCTCTATCCTCGGGGGAGTCCTGAACGATACAAAGTGAATCAACCCAGAGATAGTTGACACCGATTCGCTTAGCAACCCTGACAGCGTCCTGTATCGTGGCTGATAAAAAGGCCAAGTCTATCTCCAAATATGCTTCTAGTATCTCTATCAGTGCTTCGTGTACATGTACCAACGATTGTATACTACTAAATAATAAACTGGCAACTCACGGGCAAGAGTAGATCGGGTGGTCTTTAGCTGCTGATCCCCACCCCAGCAGTAACTAAGTGCCGCGTACTGATCGTAGGTAACGTGCGCATCGCGTAGTCTCATTGTCGTTGTGCTCGATAAATCGAGCAATCTTGAAGGACGTAACCCAGTGCTGTCCCTCAAGCAATCCGTATGTTGCTCATCACATGTTGACATCCACGACCGAACGCGCGAAAATGCAGCTTCGGAACTCACAAACGTAGCAGCTTCTTCGCCTAATAATCATTCAAACAGAGCCGAAGTCAGATGGTAGTCAATATTCCACAGGAAACGCTCGACCAACTGACCTTCTCCGACATAGACTTTGAATCTTAAATGGGACTCGTTTTGATAGCGAAGCTCAACTGCACTGCCGATCAGCTTTCCAAACACAAGCATCTCATGGATGTCGCAGTCTGATGCTCTTTGATCGATAGGACGGAGAAGAGCACGGATCTTAAGAACTGTGTCGTAGGCGCTGTAGACTTCAACGAAGTTTGACATTGACCACGAATAAAAAGCCTCCACACGTATAGAGTGTATTACCATGTAGAGGAAAACACTACACCTACGGCAAGAACGGAGCTCTGCACTCTCGTAAAGTTCGATCATCGCGACTTGCATGAGCAACCCGTCGTCTGAGATAGCCTCGGCGAGATGTTGCGAATCAGCCAAGACATTGTCGCACCTTGCGCAGAGGCTTGGGCGTTGTAGAGCGTCTCTCATCCATCCTAAATGTTGCTCACCAAAGCAAATATCGCCCAAATACTTCGCAGCATAGGACATTGAGTTTTCAATCCAGAAGTAGTAAAGGCATATGCTATCATGGAACCAAGCTCGTTGCGATAATTCATTGTTCACGGGTTCTCGGGTCTAGGCAGCATTAGGAGTGGGAACTCAAAATGTATCAGGGTTTGATAGCCGAGATCTTCACAACAAGCTTGGCGTCACAAAGTGCTTTGATTGACTCCTTTCCCGTTGGACCGCTTAGAACTAAACACTGCTAGACTCCCCGCACCTGAATAACTAGTTATGGCGGCTCGGCTCCTCCAGTATTTATTTATTTCGATTATTCAGTGGAAGTGAGTGGCCGAGCTTAGCAACACTGAAGGACACCCAAGTTTGAGCTGGCTACAGCCGGTATCATTTCGATCCAAAACAATCAATTAAGAGTGTCATTAAACCATTGATTACTCACGGCTAGAACTCATTTAAGTCAAGTTTCCCAGAAAATCGCCGAGTTGATGGGCTTTATGGACCATGTTGAAGCAAAGTTTTGCAGGTCTTGGTGAATGCTCCTTGCATATTGCGAATGAGGAATAACCCAACCCAGAAAGTCAATAATGGCCCTCAAAGCTCGCATCGACTTGTGATAAGATGCAACAGCGGGGTGTTCGAGCATTATCATGTGAACTAGCGCCCCCGTAAAGGCGGCATGAAGAACCATGAAGTCGACTACTAGATTGGAAAATTGTTCTCGGTAGGCTTTGAGAAGCCCTGATATAGCGTATGCAGATTCCAGGCAGGGACTATTTGCGAGGCGATCTTGTTCGCCGTCAAATTGGAAGGAGGGGCGGTGCAAGAGAATCATGCCAGCATGGTAACACAAGCTACAGGCTCTGAATCAGTGATGGCCAAAGGCTGATCAATGGTGAGACTTACTGAAGCGACATAAAGCTTGGTAAAGAGTGCTCAGACTTTTTCGTATTCCTCAAAGTGGGTGGAAGGTTCTTCAGCCAAGTGATGTACCGAAGATTGCCATCTGATATCGCATCTCCCACACTTGACGAGGAAGAAAATGAGTATCTATAGGTTGCATAATTAGCATAAGCTTTAGGTCGTTGAAGACTGCAAATCATCCATCGATGCACGCACATCTTACACAAAGACCTGTCTTGCATGTCAGCAAATTCAAGGTGAACAGCGTAAAGCATCTCTTGCGTGGCCTGTCCTCCACTGGATTCTGAGTACTGATGAAGGAAGTCGCGCGCCGGAGACTCTACAGAAATGTCACAAGCCGTCAAATGTACAGCACGACCTTCAAGCATAGCGAGACGCCTCACCGCAGCAGTCAATTAGCTCAAGGAATAACTCAGGCGCCTGTGGTCTTCGAGCACTAACCTATCCATCCAAAAGCAAGCCCAGAATGTTCGTTTTCTGGATGTCTCACTGTCGGTGGAGAGGATGGGCTGATAATCTGACCCACTAGCTGGATTGACATGTAAGCCCATGACTTTAGCCATGTTGCAAGCGATTCCTAAATCAAAATCAGTCACATGGAAACGACAACTAACAAGATGGGCTTTGTTACCGAGGAAAATTGTGGCGCTGTCCGTTTTCCCTTGCATGATAGCTAGATAGGACCGTAGAAGAAATGCCTGAATATTGAGTATGGTGGCATTTTCTGTCTCTCTTCCGCTGACTATTGTGAATCTTCTGAGATAGAATTCAATCAGTAAGTTTCGGTCTAGTCTGCATCTATCATAGGTCTCTTTCCGCAAGAAGAATGCACCAACAGCGAGTACTGCTATGAGTAGAAGACAGTTCTGCCGAATGACGAGCTGAACTTCGGACTGCGACTCGTGGAGTATAAGATGGGGAGATAAATACTCCCAGTAGCAATCAACAAGCTCGTCGTTTTCTGGCAAATCTGGAAGTTCCCTCGGTTTGGTCGCAGCAGTTGCGAGCTTTGATGTTGGTAGGCACGAAGCCGTCGCCTTTGCGATGTGCAAATTGCTAGTTGGTCCGACATAGAAGATTCGACCGCTTTTGCCATCATGTAGAAAGCCTCCGGTGATAGATGCAAAGCTCTTCAGAGGTAAAGATTGCGATTGAGTGACAAAGTCTGAAGTTGGAAAGAGGCTATCAATCTGCCAACGTTCAGGGGTGCTGTAAACAACGTTGCCTTCACCTTTGCCATCAAAATGAGGCTCGTGATCCTCAGTCATAGAAGGCAAAGCTTTTTCTTCATCTTGATGGGATATCTGGCTGTCATTATGGGCAAGAAGCCCATTCCCATTCAATTGGGCTTCAAGGAAGGCTACGCGGCTGCTAAGAGCTGCGAACTCCGCCTCGGTGTGGCGTTGCTTTCGGCCATCAACTGCGTTGTAGTCACAGTGTCGCGATTGCCGCGCACATGTTCCACATTGTGGTTTGGCTCCATCGCACTTCACTCTACCAGCTCGACATTGGCGACATGCTTTGGATACTCTTGGTGTTTGGCGCCGCGTCCGGAATGGCCGTGAAGCTTGCATTGTGTTTGGTGATTTGTAGGATGAAGACACAGGGAACCACAAGTCATTTCAACTTGGAGACTGAGACCGTATTTCAGGAACTACCTTAGGGGGCATAGCATGACTCCTTTCAGCATTCCTTCTAGAGTCTGGTACTACTGTGATAAGAGTGAATCTCATGTTATACAATTTGCGATAAGATTAATTCGTTGAGCCAATCAACGGACAGACTCGTATCAACCCAACGTCGCTATCGCGGAAGATGAATTCCGGACTACCATCGACAGTCCGTAGTCCCGTCTCACGGACGATCAACAGTCCTCGTCTACTCGTATTGAATCAGCATCGCACAAAGTTGAAATATAGAAGACAAATCGACCGTCCATCAAACATGAAACGGCAGCTTCGTAGTTTCGCAACTATGACATTGGGACTAAGTTGATGCGCAATTACAATGCGTGCTGTTTCTCTGTAGGTTTAGTGGAATGAGACTCAATGGAAAAGACCATCGATCTCTTCCAGAGTCTTTCCTGCTGTCTCTGGCATCCACATGTAGCAAATGAAGGCAACAAGAAAACTTAATCCACAGATCATGAACAGCGCTCCGTAACCGACTGCAGTGAACAAGTAAGGACTGATCATGCTAGAGAAGAAAGAACCAAGGCCCAGGCCAACTATGCCTACCGAGCTTCCTTTAGCACGAGATTGAGCTGGGAAGATCTCTGAGGGATACGTGAAAGGGCACCAGACTGTTGTTCATCCAAGAGTCAGCTCTAACAACTGGAGTAAATAGCTGAACGATGGGAATCCCATCTTCAAGGAGGTCGACCACTTACGCCATGTTGAACCAAAAACTGCTGCCCATATGAAGACCAGCGCAACGGTCGCTGACCCGTAAGACTTCGCCAGTGCTGGGTCGGAGTCGGCATATTTGTCGACAAAGTAGCCACACATGCCAATCAGAGCCAGAACGACAGCTCCTCCAGCAGCTCCACCAATCATTGCATTTCGACGACCTATTTTGTCAGAGAGCAAGGCGCCTGGAACTCCAAAGGCAGCTTGAGTAAGAATGCCCATGCCTGAGAGAAGTGCGGCCAATTCAGAAGACCAGCCGCCCGTTTCGAAGATTTTGATACCGTAGCCGGACACGAATCCTGACCCGATCATGGCCTGTGTTGCAAATTGAATGAAGATGGCAGACCATGTTCGACGTGCTGTGCTCAGCTCGTCACGGACAGTGAACATCGACCAGTAGCTTGTCGAAGAATTGTGTTCTCGCTCCATGTCGATCGTTCGAGAGATGCTTTCCAACTCTGCCTCGACAGCACTTTGAAGATCCATTGGATGGTCGACGTGCTTAACAGCCTCGATAACATCACGTGCTGCTTCAGCAAGGCCTACTTTCACCAACCACCTGGGTGACTCCGGAAGAAAACAGACAATCGAGAGCGCCATGAGCACAAAAACGAGCTGGAAAGCCAGAGGAAATCGCCAGACAACCTCGCTTGACGTCTGCTTTGCTAACCCAAATGGGATGAAGTATGCGATGCCAGCGCCCGTGGCCGCGTAACACAGCTGGAAACCAATGGCTCTTCCTCGATGTCGATGGTCTACCGTTTCAGCTGAGTAATTGAGCCCGACAGAATCGAATGATCCGGTCGCAAGTCCGTTAATGAAGCGGAATGCCAAAGCCCACGCAAAATTCTGAAGAGCGGCAAAGAATGGAACGACGATGAGAGCGAGAATTCCGGTGAACAAGATTGCGCGGCGGCGGCCAACTTTGTCGGAGAAGGAGCCGACCAGCAGGGCGCCTATGATGACCCCGATCCAGTAGACAGCGTTGATGACCCCGATGAGAAGTTGGGAATGCTTGCTCCCATCTTCCAGACCAACAACTTTGAGGTATGAACTAAGAGAAGAAACACTACCCATAAGTGCCAAGTCTATTTTAGGAAAATATGTTGGTCAGTATATGGTCTTTGGACGGTGAAGTTGGCACTTAAGTAAGACAGAAAAGCTTACTGAACCCTGAGATGAAGAATATGAGACAGCCGCAAGCAACGACGCCTGTCCTGGACATCCATGGCGAAAGACCCTTGAAGCGATATTCTGGGGAAGGGCCGGGCACGTATCTGACCCAAGAGGGGAAAGCTGTTGTTGTTTCGCCAATATGGTTCTGGCCAGAGGTCACAGACGGCCCCAGAGATGTTGTCTTTTCTCCCATGACTTCTTCGGGTTGGATATGAGAGTGGGCGGTAGGGTTCAGTAGATCAAGATATAGCTCTGGTGATATACCGTGCTTTATGGACTGCCCTACTGTCTTCGAGTAAACGACTTCGGGAAGGAGGTACACGTAAAGTATTTGCTCCTGATGCTATTGAGCCGTGGACTTTATACTTCCCTTCGCTCATTAAACCAATCGAGACATGCGACATTCTTCGCTTTCACAAGCACTTAGATTAGACTCCTGGCAAGATCAGCTAATCACCTCAAGATAGTAATCGTATGTTGATTTCCGGAACATCTCTGGTGCTGATGGGTGCGCTATTGGACGGCTAATCACTAGCCGGTGGGTCTCCTGACCAGATACCGACCGGATGTTGATATACGGCAATCTTCAAATGATGCCAACTACCACTATCTTTGATACCGCGTCTATATTTCCGGTCGTTATCGGTGCGGCGAGAAACCTTTGGCATTTGACTAAAAGTCAAAATAACTTATCCTTTACTGTGATCCGATGTACAGATAAATGCTTCAAAAACCTCTTCGGCCGAATCAACTCAATGCAAGTTGCTCCTGCCAATATCTCGCACCGAAGAACACATAAATACAGAGTTTTGACGCCTCTATTATTTCTGGAACACCACAAGTTGTCGCATCTCTGTCAATCACTCTTCAGTCATGAACTCGCAAGTCCACGGAGATCCCCACGAGCCGGTCAAGGTTGCTGTGGTCCAAGCCGAACCATGCTGGTCAGTCCTCAGAGAGCGTGCAATCACACGTCCCAGTTTGTGATGTAACTCTTGAAGACCCTCTCAATCTCCTCTAACTCTCCTGTCTTCGCAGGTTCGATGTTGAAGCTGCAACTCAAAAGACATGCGACCTGATCGCTGAAGCTGGCGCTAACAGCGCAAAGCTCATTGCCTTCCCTGAGCTATGGATCCCTGGCTACCCCAACTTCATACACGCCATGGCTGCGAAGGAGACCTTCCCGTACATTATCAAATACTACCGCAATTCCATCGACATCGAGTCCAAGCACATGGAGTCAATCCGTCTGGCAGCCAAGAACGCTCAGATTATGTGTGTGTTGGGGATTTCGGAGCGCCACCGTGGAAGCTTGTACATGGCGCAGACTTTCATTGGCCCACATGGAGACATTCTCCTGCATCGAAGGAAGTTCAAGCCTACAGCACAGGAGAGAATCCTTTTTGGCGACGCAGTACGTTGACATCCCCTCGAACCGCTCTCGCTATATCCCAGTCAAATAACATTGTACGGCAAACAGTCTGGAGACTGCATCACGAACGTCGTTTCCACACCTATCGGCCGTGTTGGTGGACTGCAGTGCTTCGAGCACCTGCAACCCCTCTTGAAATACAACACGTACTTCCAGGGAGAGCAGATCCATGTCGCATCTTGGCCAAATCTCTTTCCGCCTGTCGGCAAGATGCCCTTCTTCAACACTGTCGAATCTTGCACCATGGCTACGCATACCATGGCCGTCGAAGGCGCTACTTTTGTTCTTCTGGCATCTTCAACTCAGACAGAAAAGGGGCTTGTCGCCAACGGTCTCATCCCAAGCCAAGACACGGATGATGCCAAGAATGCTCCCGCCGAGACCGAAGAGAGACCTCACACCGCAGTCATTGGAGGAGGCTTCTCTGAGATTATTGCACCGGACGGTCGCACCCTCGTCAAGGCCCCTAGTGCAACCTTCGAGGGCCTTCTTTACGGCGAGTTGGACTTTGATGAGATTTACATGGCCAAGAGTATTGTCGACACCGTGGGTCATTACTCTCGGCCAGACATTTTTACCCTGCAAGTAAGGGGTGATGTCCGGCGCCAGTGCGAGTACGCTGAGCCTGGCGAATTCAACCATACCTCACGGTTCCCGGAATTACCTACTCACCAAGGACCTCAAGAGAGGACCGGATCCAGCATCGCAACATCAATGAAGGCTGGAGTGTCTTCTTTGAAAGGGGTTTCGAATCACAAGAAAGATACTGTTGATGGAATCGTTAGTGGAAAGCGATGCGATTGAACCGAGTAAGATTTTATCATGAAGTTGATGAATGCGGGACTTAGTGAACCTGAGCCAAGAAAGTCATGGTTGAACCTCCATCTAATATCGCAATGGAACGTGTTGCTTGTTACGGAGTACACTGCTTGTTAGATTCAACGCGACAGTAAAAATAGGGGTTGGCAGGACGGGGATGAATGTTGGTTTGCTTTCTGCTACCTGAGTAAAAGTGGTTTTGTATCAAAGTGTGAACATCAACGCAAATTACTGATGGTTACAAACGTGAAACCCACTGTTAAATCCTTGCTTCCACAGAAACACAATTTTCGCATCAGTCTCTTAGTGATTTTGGAAAGTCTTCTTCTCCCTCGGGTCCTAGATCGGCCCCGTTTTCGCCGAATGCCGAATCATCATGGTCAGCTGGTGGTCCATGAAAATCACAAAGGCTTGCCTGTATTTCTCACTAGAGCAAGTTCAGGCTAGCCGGGAAACCTCACTTTGAACCCAATCTCAACGTCGCTTGGCACTGGGTAACAGTATGAGCAGCAACTCAAGTAGTGACCTAAAGTCCCCTGCAGTGGTCACGAATCGAGCTCGTATCTGCCGGCTGAGGGGTTATAGCGTGCCAAGACGGACTAATTCGACCTTTTCTTGTCAGTACCAGCTCTCTCCACAATTTTCTTCCCCCTGAAAAGGACCAAAGGCGTTTGATCAAACGCCATGCCTATCAATCTTCACGCTTCGGAGGGGACACTTGGCTCTGCAAGTTGCAGGAGCTGAGTGAAAATTCTACGAGAATCTGCAGACTGTCGGTAGAGGTAACGAAGCAATCAGTCAAGATGGCGGGGGAGAATAGGATCGTGCATGAGCCCGCTAAATAAAGTCTTCCAATCTGCCCAGAAGACCATGCCACTGGCCAATATTTAATTGCTCCCTACCGGGGCATTTAAGTGCGAGCCGAAGAATCCGTCTCAAAATCCCCGTTTCCGCTGCCCAATAACTCCATGCGTTATAACCGCAAGTCTGCTCGTACCCTTTAGAGGAGCCCCCAAGAAACAACTTCAGATGACGTTTTTTGCTTAGTGGATCCAATGCGGGACCTGGTGTTCGTGAGACAATTGAGCTCACACCAGAGCGTGGCTGTGGCCTGAAGTGAAAAGTTTTGTCAATATGAGACGCTTCCCCTTACGCCAGCATGCACGCTGCACTGCCAAGGGTTGACATTTCGTTGAATATAGTGCTGCATGTCTAGACTTGAGTCTAAACTCTGCCAAGTGCTGAACCGACTCTAAAGATACAAACTTCAAGAGTAACAACGAAGAAGTGAAAGCATTGAAGGCATTGAACTTAAGTCAATCAACAACGGCGTTGTTCTTAGCTCAAGCGGACTAATCCTTCAACTTTTGCTCCATCAATTGTTGTCCTCGGTTGTTTCCTTTGTTTCTAGAGCAGCTCTGTCGATCATCTCACAGGTGACGCCAAGGGAAGACAGTGTCGTGCCAAGACCCAACGTGTGAGCCAAGGGACGGGAGTTTCAAAAGCATGAATCGGGAAGGTCTGTTTCCATAGAGCAAGCAATCCACTCTTCCTCTTTGCTTCTTTAGGGTATCATTCGTGTAGGTATCGACCGACCTGGCAACTCTATTTCCCAATTTCTCTCCAACCGGTTGACAACCCCGGGTCACCCGTAGCCACTCTGTAGCCATGCCGAGCCGCCTCCAAGCTCGTGGTAAATGAATGCGGAGGATGCATTCCCGGTCTAGGGGCCGGGCCAATTTCGTCCTCCAACGAACGTGCTTGCTCCGTGGGACCCTCTACCGGAGTGGCGCGCATCTAGAGCATCGTCGTATCCACCTGGTTAAGTCTTTGGGGGCTATCTGATATAAACAAGTCGCCGTGCCAGAGTCCTGTGAGCGCAAGGTTCTTGAGCCACCACACACTCTACTTCTTCTCTCTCTCTATTATCACCCGTGTATCTAGCCCGTAACCATGGTCAAGTACTCCATTCTCACGGCAGTGCTGGCACTCGCATCCTCTGCCGCCGCCCAGTGCGGTTCCGGCACGCCCGACGCAAAGGTCACCGGCTCCGGAAGCTCCTTCGTGGCGACCAAGGGCTCCAGCCAGGTCTACTCCGGCTCCGACTACCGCGCCGCTATCCAGGCCGCCGTCGACTCCATCAGCAGCGGCCAGCGCGTCTCTGTCATCGCCTCGGGCTCCATTGGCGCCAGCACCATCGCCATCCAGAGCGGCAAGACCTTTGAGGGCTGCGGAACCATCAACGTCGCTCTCCGATCCGGCCGCGGTGCCATCGAAGTGACCAACGCCTCGGGCGTCAAGATCCCGTATCTCTCCATGACCGGAAACCCGTACTTTGGTCTCCGCTTCTACGGCACCAAGGACCTCACCCTCGGCGCCATCAACATGAACCTCAGCGGCGGAATCGGCATCCGCTTCGACCGCGACCAGGCCGCCAACACGAACGTCAAGATGGGCGTCATCACCGTCAATGGTGCTGGCAGCCACGCGGTCGAGACTTGGAACATCGACGGCCTGACAATTGACCAAGTCATTGCCAAGAACTGTGGCGAGTCCGGGCTGCTGCTCCAGAAGACGACCAACGCAAAGGTAGGCCTCGTCGACGGCAACAACATTGGTGCCGGTACCGGCTACGGAACGCTCCGCTTCGCCAACAACAACGGCCAGCTCGCAAACGGCGCCTATACCACGAACGTCTACGTCACAAAGGTTGTCTCCCGTGGCGGCGGCCGCGGCATCTTCTGCGTCTCGCAGTCTGGCGGCGCCGAGATTGGCAGCATCGACCTCGCCAACAACGGCAATAACGCGATTCTTATTGAGAACTGCTACGGCGTCACCATCAAGGGCGGTACCGTCAACGGCGGCGGCGAGGTCCGTCTCTCTGCCCGCTCCGAGTTCCCCATTACCCGCGACATCAGCATCACTGCCAAGGTCGATGGCACTACCGTTCGCGAGTCTCCTTGCGGCCAGAACATCAAGTGGAACCTTTCCGGCAACGGCGCTCGCAACATCTGCTAAGCGTTAAGGATATCAGCGGTGGATGGTGCTCTCTGGACGTAGCGTGTTTCCCTTTTTGACAGTATATTATTCCTCATTCTGGCTCTAGTTAGTCTATGTGCACATATTATCTACAAAAGTCGTCGTGCTGCGAAAAGTCTCAGCAAGTAATTGATTACGTGACGCGCGGATTGGAACTAAAAGTTTTCGGTGAGAAACCAGTGAGAAACCAGTGTTAATCCGGTATCCGTTGTCCACAATGCCTAATTAGCTCTCCATCTACGAATACTGGCTCGGCTCGTATGATCAGATGTCAGTTCCCATTGAAGATCCTTTGCAATAAAGGAAGCGAGAGCCACCCTTTACCCCTTTTGAAAAACGCTGTAGATAAACTGCCCTCACCCCCCCTATCAGCTCTCGAGATCGTCGCAATAAGCTTACTCCGTCCAAAACGCCGGAGAGATCTCCGAAGAGAGATTCTGCCCCGCACAGACGAGCAGAACAACAGCCGAGTTCCAACTTCCCTGCCAGATGTGCGTTCGGTCAGGGCAGTAGAGGTGCTTAAGCTTGCCGCTTCCAATTTTCTTCGTTGATGATCGTTGGCATGAGTTCTCGTGGCATCGCTAAATTGACCCATGCGAACGGAGTCTGGGGAAACGCGGGGACAGAATATTTCATCCCCGGACCTCCCCGCATCAACCCGACCACGTCAAATAGGGTATATGTATGCTATGAGAGAACATTGAGAGACTCATGCCGTGCGTCTCTTCATCACTGAGAACTATGTTTCAAGACTTCAAAATGATCCCTTGTACCAGGACCTCAACTGGCGGCTGGTCCTCATTGGCTGCGTTGCCAACCTTGGCGCCATGGGTTTCGGCTTCGACAATGGGTGGTGGGGAGGCGCTTTGGGTCTATCCCAATTCCAACGAAAGTACGGTGCCTATGATGATGAACTCGGGCGATACGCCATTCCAGCGGAGAAAACATCAGTCGGGACAAGTACTGGCTCCGCCGGTATCATCATCGGCTGCATTATGGCTCCTCTTGCTACTTCTAGGCTCGGCCGAAAGAAGTCTTTCCTTGTAATCTCAGCTCTTATGGGAACTGGCGTGGTGCTTGAGTCTTCTGCGGTTACGTCGTTCTGGCAGCTTGTTGTTGGGCGGATCTTGGTGTACGCCGGCATGGGGCTTTCCTCCAACGTCACCCCATGTATCTCTCGGAATGCGCTCCGCCACGGATTAGAGGTGATTCAACGAGGCTTCACCATGCCTATTTCTATGCTGACGAGTCTCTCAGGTGCTTTTCTTGCACTCTACAGCTTCTTTCTCTCTCTGGGAGTTTTCTTGTCTGCCATCGCAGTAAACCTTTCACGGAGTCGCACCGATCAATGGCAATATCTGTGAGGTCCATGAGCGGCGTCTGATTCATGTTGTAACTGACGCATCAAACAGAATCGTAATTATCTGCCAGTTATTCGTTCCTGTGGGATACGCGACCCTGTATCCGTTTCTCCCAGAGTCTCCACGCTACCTCATCTACCGTGGGAAGTACAAAGAGGCAGAGCAAGTGCTTACAAGGCTATTAAATCGCCCAGAAACCATCCCGCAGGAAGTCCAACTACTCGAAGCCCAAGTCGAGGAACAGCAAGAATTGCACAAGGCGACCTCATTCAAAGACTGCTTCAAGGGAACTAATTTCCGTCGAACTGTCATTGCCATGGGTGTCCAGATACTTCAGCAAGCCCAAGGCGTCTCCTTCATTCAGAACTTCATCGTCACTTTCGTGCAGCAGCTCGGCTTCCCGGATCCCCTGCGGACGAATGTCATGGTGACTGGATGCAGCTTCGCCGTCCACATCATCACTTTCTTGACATTTGACAAGATCGGCCGTCGACGCTCCTTGTTTTTGCGAGCTGTTGGACTCGCCGGTATGATGATCGGCACAGGGGCAGCGACAGCAACGGGCTCCGCAGGGAACTACTCCAGCGCCGTTTCCAACAGCTCCGCGGCACTGCTAATATTGTGGTATATGGTTAGTCCCTCGCCTACTTGTATGCCGCGTCTCTTACTTGAATGGGACAGACTCTGCTTATTGTTTCAAAGAGTTACGGCTTCACTTAGGGTCCTGGCTACTGGGTCGTCGCTGACGAAACCGGAACGGGCCAGCTCAGAGAAAAGACACTCTTACTTGAGTCCATGGGCAGCTTCGTCACTTCTGTTACAATCAACTTTGTCAACCCTTACGTCCAGGCAAAGCTCGGCGGCGCCGTCACTTCCATCTACGGCGGATTTTCGGTTGTTGCAGTACTTTGGGTCTTTTTCTTCGTTCCCGAGACTAAGAATCGCTCACTTGAGGAACTTGACGAGATATTCCAGGCTCAGGTTAGGACCCGAAACTTGGACAAGTAGATCTCGTCTGGCTTGGGCGCCCAAATCACCAAAGTGGAAGACTTGAGCAGTAAGAAAGCCCAGCTGGAGCAGGCAGAGGACGCTTGAGAATAGGCGGCCAATTGTGTGGCCCGAAATGAAAGAGTGAGGAGCGAAATGTAGGATGATAATTTAGCTTATTCTGCCCAAAATGTGATCTCAAGAGGAGTGCGTTATTGGACCATTGGACCAATTCATCGTAAAATCGCTGCACTATCTGCGAAATAGAAGGATCAGGCCATACGATTTTACATCTCATTGTCTTAAGATCATGAAGGGAAGTAAGAGTCTGTTTTGGTTCATGTAGGGGGACGCCTTTCTCCCTTGGGTGTCCTTCCAACTACACGCCCGCGACCTTTGTTTATTCGACATGTTGTTGAGGCTAACACTTCGCCATATTAATCGACCCCCAGATGCCTAAGGTAGCTAACAAATAATGTCACCTCCAGCCAAGTCACAGCCTGAAGGCTCGAGAGCGGGCACCACCCGCGGTGAAGGAACCATGCTTCACCTTGGAATACAGCTGTATGCCTTTCCGGCTCGACACTGACCCACAGCACTGCAAAGTAACATCTGATAAGGAGTTTCATTTCCTCACTGAATTCACTCAACAACCATCAATAGTGCCCAGGTCCTCTATGCAACCACGCCGCATACACACAAGAATTCTGCAGAACATCTCGATCTCGTCGTCAAGTTATAGAAGAGAAAGAAAAACAACCGCCACGCAGCTGTAATCTCCGGAAGCGAAACTCTTTCCACAGTCAGCAGTCCTGCAGTGAAGATGACAGAAGGCTATATCCGCGGCGCGCTTCTAGACACGTGGAACGGCATCTGCACCTCAAAACAACGCGAAGTCGCCACGACCAAGCTCATTCAGGCTCTCAACCACACTGTCAAAGCCTGGGAGTGCCTAGCCATGGGACTTCTCGCCCTCGATCTCGCAATCACGCTCTACGGCCTCAGCTCTAAGATCTCCGACGCCGTTATCCCTATCCCCAACGAGGTCGCCATCATCGCCTTCGCCGAACTCATGGTTCTCATTCAGCTTATGCAAATATTCCTCCCAGTATACCCTGCGGAGGAGTTTGAAATGTTTGCCATTCCGCAACAACTGAGAGAGAAGAGCGTTTGCAAGTGGGTGAGCGGCGTCTTTGGACTGCAGGAGACCGAGTTTCCTACGCGTCGCGACGATATGAGCGGGAACAACCTGAAGGCCTTTGGTGTCTTTCTCATCCCCATCGCCGCCGCTGTGGTATGGAAGTGGAAGAGGGTTCGTCGCCGCCAAAGGGAAATGGCGAGGAATGAGCAAGCGGCGCTTGTTGCCCAGGCCTTTCGTATGTGGGACGCTTAGAGAAGGGACAGCTGAAGACAAGGCCTCCAAAAGAACCTTCTTGCTTGTTTCGACTTTCAAGGGTGCTCACTGATGCTGTGCTATGTAACATAACGAAAAAAAAGAGACAGCTTCGAGTATGCGAAGCGCTTCTTTCATTGGGTAACACAAATAAGGCTCAATGTGCTACCCAAGGTCATTGCTAGCCTGCCCCGTTGGTTGAAGACTTTGCTTCATAATTTTTGAAGGACATGATGATACTAGCAAAGAAAGTTCCGTTTCTCCTTTCTCGTCTTGTTCGTAACTAATAGTCTGTTGACGCAATGAATTATTGTGACTAAATAACATCAGTGGAATGCCGGTTTTACCATCAAGTCAGTCTTCAAACCAGAATAGTATCCTACAAGCTTCACACACTTCAACAACATCCGACTTACCTCTTCCTACTTTACATTATCAATCAAGAAATCCACACGAAAACTTAGAAGTCACTTCGGTACCAGAAGCCCCCGAAGAACGTCCACCAGAAGGAAAACTAGAGAGTATTTGTGCCTTGACCTGCCATCTCGCTCTTTCCAAAGGTAAAAGTCGGGTCCTTCCAAAACTGGGGTTAGAACCTGAACTTCAACTGCAGAATTTCACCTGTAGCCTCCATTCACTGGATCACCCCAAACTCGTCTTATTCACCTAGTCAACTCAGTGAATACTCACAAGAGCCTTCCCTGACGAGGGCCCTCTTCCTCTTGATAAAACCTCTTCTTTTCTCTTCTCCGCCAAAAACTTCCTCCTCGCACAAACAACCAACACACTTCCTCACGACAAAGGATCTCCTACCCGCGCAATTCTTCTTCCATCACACAACCAACCCCCTTCACACACCAACACGTAACCAACACACAACAAAGATACCCAGAATGTCTTCATACGTTCTTGGAGCCTTGTGGTAAGTCCTTCCTTTCTCTCCAGTTCGCATTGCAAGATGAAATATGAAGCTAACTTTATTTTTTACAGGGCCTGGAACGCCTACGATGAGGTGCTAACCAAGAAGCTCATGAATAAGGCCAACCCCATCCCCCTCCCTCAGGAGCCCAGCTTCAAGAGCACTGATGTCACCATCATCGTCCCTACCATCAACACTCCTGACACGCTCACCGATTGTCTTCGTCTCTGGCTTGCCAACAAGCCCAAGGAGATCATCATCGTCACCATTGAGCGTGACCTTCAGCGCGTTCATGACCTGGTCAAGCCTGTCATCATTGAGGGCGAGGATCGCATCAGCGTCATGACTGCTAACTATGCCAGCAAGCGTGTACAGATGGTCGTCGGCATGAAGGAGGCCAAGGGCAAGATCCTTGCTCTCGTCGACGATGATGCCTTCTGGGGCACCTTGGAGACCCTTCCTTACCTCCTGGCTCCTTTCGAGGACCCCAAGGTCGGCGGTGTCACTGGCAAGCAAAGGTATGTGAAGTTTTCGTCTCCCCCCTTCGTTCTTCCCTTCAAAGACTTCCTTTAATTTTTTTGACGCTGACTTTCACAGCGCTCGCATCAGCGCCGACCGCCGCAACCCGGCCATCATCACTCCCTGGGAGGTCGCTTCCCTCCGCTCCCTCGACAACCAGAATAATGTCCAGGCCGTCCGCTCCGCTGCTGATGGCAGTTGCTGGTGCATGGTTGGCCGCACCATGATGGTCCGCACCGACATTGTCCAGGACCCTCGCTTCATGGAGGCCATTACCAATGACAGATGGAATGGACAGCTCATGAACACTGGTGATGATGTGTTCCTCACTCGCTGGCTTATGAGCGAGAACTGGGACATTGCCGTCCAGAACGCCCCTCAGGCTGAGATCACGACTCTTGTCATGCGTGACTCTGATCTTCTGTATCAGATGATCCGCTGGCAGCGCAACGCCATCCAGTCCTTTCTCACGACTGTGATGTACCAGCCTGGTATCCGCAAGATCAAGCAGTAAGTCCTCTCTTTCTTGACTTTTTTCCTCTATCTAGTGAGTCTCCAAGAAGCTAACAATGAAATAGGAAGCATCCGTACATGGCTCGCAAGATGATCGAGCGTCTTCTCCGCCCTGTCATTGCCTGGGTCCACATCATTGCCTTCTTGATGTGCCTTGCTAAGCAGTCGCCCATCGCGTAAGTCCTCTCTCTCTCTCTCAAACTGTTATCAAAGAACATGGCTGATTTTCTCTGCTGCAGCTACTTCGTTGCGGGCTACTACATCTGGGGCTGGTTCCGTACCTACAACGCCTTTGCGCGTCGCTTCCCCTATGTCTCTCGCCAGATCTGGGCCTGTTTCCTTCTGGACAACGCCCACCCCATCCTCGACGTCTACGCTTGGCTCACCATCAGCACCGAGGCCTGGGGCACCCGTGACACCTGAGCGAAGTCAGGCTTGCCGCGACGAGTATCGCAGGCGCAGAGGCGGCAGCGAAACATGTCATGGCACAAGACTTCTTTTAGCACTGGGGCTTTGGGATAACTTTCTTAAGACTTGGAGTTTGTGGATCGGATAGATAGGTCTCTCACGAGTGATAACTGGAGTTTGATGACAGAGATCATTCATAAATCAATAGATAAAAGGCTTTCAACCACAATACACATGGAAACTGCGAGCAAACAACAGGCTGCAAAGCCCAGATAGTGAAGAAGAATGACTGATCGGAGAATGCAAAGCACTTGTAGCGTAATCATCAAGCGTCACACTCAAGATGCGCAATTTGTAGGGGAACAAGCAAGAGACTAACTCCAAACTCAAGCCATCAGTCCGGCCTGTCCTTTCGCGATTCTTTGGTAATCTGTAGGGCCCGTGGACTCAGATCGGTCCAGGAATAGAACAGAGTTTGCTGCCTACGGTTTCTAGAAGTTGTTTGAGACGTTCTATAGCTCTGGATCAGCCCTATAACATAAAAAGACATGAAACATGTATTCCTTTGTCAGATGGACAGACCCTTCCATCGGAAGCGAAGCCAAACCTTGTCGCTCACTGCCACAACGGCCTCTCCCTAAGTCCAGACTATTAGTTTCCAAGGATGGAAAGAGCACGAGCGGCCAGTTCATCTTCTGCGACCACAAGGAGATTTAAAAGCGCAGGTACAGAAAATCAATCAATTCCCAAAGCCTTATGGGAGCCAACTTCCAACGCATTGTCACTGCGGTGGCCTTGAGGTAGCTCTCATTGTTTCATATTCTGGTCCAGCGAGTCAGAGCCCGGGACTTAATGATACTACCTACGTACGACACGACATCTTCGACACCCATGTTCCCCATCTTGAGCGAGCCCAGCCACTTGGGACTTCAGCCTTAGAGTTTACTAGGTGCTGAAACGTGGAGACTTGCAGGAAGACATAATCAGGATGAACATGTTATTGATCTGTATTCAGCTGATGCTCGCTTCTACCTTGAAACTCAGCCCCACCGCCTTGGCGAGCTGTCATCGAGGTTAGTTGCATTGCGCCGGATTTCAGCTTCGACCACTTATCCGCAAGCCGGCAATACCGACGTAGCGATAACTTCGGAGAACTCGGCTTGAGACTGTGTTCCTCTATCTGCCACTCTTTTGAGCAGTATAAAGTCATGGACTCGTTCTCTTAGAAAGCGACTTTCAACTTTCAAGCAAAACAACGACTCTTCAACTCTGTACACTCCAACAAGCCCATACGTCATTTCTTCATCGGCCACAATGCAGTTCAAACAAAGCGCACTCTTCTTCCTTGCAGGATTTCTTTCCCTTACATGTAACTTGACGCCTGGCTCCTTGCGGCCATAATCTGGATCAACAGCTGCTAACACGGTGCTTCTCAACAGTCGCCTGCGATGACGCCCAGGGGAACAAGGGAGTGTGCAAGCCACCCAACTTCTGTTGCGCGGCGGATGGCTTTCAGTGTGTTTTCAGAGAGGAATGCAAGAGCTAGATGAACCATGTCCTCCAGCAGCTATACCTTGTGAGGGAGAATTATCTTCGTTTGATTCTAACAGACTCATATCCTCGGTTTCAAATGCTCTTTCTTAATCGCTGATTTCTATGTGAGATGTCTATCAATATGACCAGCTTGCCAGGATGATTGCAATAGGCCTTAACCCATGTGCGTATGTCGAGCTACGCCCCACGATCAATGGCTAGTACCTTGGCCGAAGAAAGTCGAAGCAGGAGACTCGTGGCACCTGTCATTACTGTGCCTTCTTGCCAATGCCAGTCTGCTCCACAGCGGTCAGCTCCCGAATCAACCTCATATACCAGCTCGCGCCCAGGGCGGTGAAGATATGCCACCATCCGTGGAGCTCCAACAGCCACGCGGCAGGCAATCCAAGACTCTTCCTCGCGGCTCTCAGCTCGGCACAGTATTCCAAGTCGATGTGCCACAGCGTGAACCCTATAATCAAAATGATACAAGCCTTCCAGAACTGCTTCATCAGTCCCTTCTGTTGTTCTTTCGAGTAGCGTCCGGTCCGGTAGACGATGAACAGCGTCCGCGGCCAGACAAAGGTCAACAACCCGGTGAAGGTCGCGACGTGGATAGCGATGTCCCCCGAGCGGACGTAGATGGCTGCCATGGCGGCGATGCCGAGCCAGAGGATGGTGGTGATTGCTGCCCCCACCGCGCGCGACTGGCGGAAGGCGTAGAGGGGCTGGACGAGCGAGCCGGCGAGGACCAGCATGGAGAGGTCGTCGAGGAGCTGCGTTTCCTGGTGCATGGTGCCGTGGAAGACGCCGGAGAAGATGCCGACGGCAAGGAGGCCGATGGATTGGATGTCAAGGGTTCGGTACCATGGGACCGCGGCCCTGGAGTTGGCCCGGGGGTACTTCAGGGCGAGGTAGACTGTTTGGGGGGTTCAGCATGATGAGCGCAGGGATGGGGCCGATGGGTTTGGCACTCACTGTAGGTTGCATTGGACAGGCAGTTGATGAATTCTGCGATGTACCGCGTGAAGATGTAGTCTTCTTCGCAGAAGCTGAGAGGAAATGCTACGTCAGCATGCGATCCGGCACGATTTTCTAGAGCACTGCTTACTTTGCCTTGCTTGTTGGGTAGCCCCAGATACCATCGCCCGCCGTTGCGTCGCTCGCAAAGCGGAGAGTCTGATGCTTGTGGCTCATTGTGACAACACCTCACTGCTTGTCGCTGTCACTTGGCGGAAGCTACGTTGAGTCGTTGACTCTGCTGGTGGAGCAAGAAAGGCGCGTGATTTTGACGCGACTGAGATTTTCCTCGTGCTAGAATACCTATCGATAAACCAAGGTGGTGGCAGCCAATCGCGAAGCTTAAAATCGCTGCAGGTCCTCTGGAAAAGGTCTCGAGTTGGGGTTGGAAGCGTCAGAAC